ACACATGATACAATACTTGAGCTAAAGCTTGAGAAAGGAGTTGGCATCCACTAGAAAGGTGGGGCTAGATCATTCCAGGAAATGGGAACAGCATCAGCTAAATCACAGAGACATGAAACAACCTACTATTTTTGGGATGCTACATGCAATTCGTTGTAGCTGGAACTTAGATGAGATATCTGGCTGGAGAGCTAGAATATAGGATGCTTTTGTATACAATACTGAAAATATGGGCTTTATTTAGTGGGACAATTGATAGTGGGTTTTTAACACTCTTCAAGCAGAAGTGTTACTCAATGAAATTAGCATATTAGAAAAGTCATCCTGGTAGTAGTATTAGAGAAGGAGATTACTTAGGAAAATAAATCAGTAGGCTATTGGGGTAGTTTGCAAGCAGTAAGGAAAGTCTGAATCAAAGCACTGATTGTGGAGAAAGAATGGAATCAGATGTCAAAGCATCTAAGTGACTTAGTGACTGACTGTACAGAGTGGGAGAAAGTCTAGGATGATTGCTATCTTTCTGGCTGGGGCAGTGAGCTAGTGATCACTTTCCTTAAGGAAATAAGTTGTGTGAGAAAGGTTAGCTCTGAACTAATTGATCAGAAAAGTTTCAGATTTAAGAAACATCAACATTAGAAGGCAAATGAAGCAGTAACAGACTTTTTCATCCAGGGTAACTATGTGATGTGAGGGAAGAGGACCCAGTGGGCTAGCGAAGTACACCAGTATAACAATGGCAGGGTAACCAATGGAACATGGTTCTCCAAAAAACAGCACAGAGAGTGATCACTGGTGTTACATATTTCAGATGCCTACATGAATCTGCTAAATTTGATTATTTAAATTAATTCTAGAATGACTTTAACTTTAGATTTAGTGTTCTGATATAAAAGCTTTGTTGTAACTGGCTGAAAATGAGCAGTTGAGGTATATGAATAGCAGTTACGTGCTATTTTTCAAGAAGTTTAGCTTTCGGTGAAGCTTAAGGAAATTATGGACTTACAGTGAGAATTTTTTATTGTTTACTACTTATTTTTGTAGTAAAGTAGAAAGATTTATGCTTATAGCCAGTAGGGAAACATCCACTAAACAATTCAAAAATAGAATTTGAAAGAGCTTTAAGATATACCCATGGGAACAGATGGAGGGATTAATCTTGAACAGAAAGGCATCTCTTCCTTTGACTAGAAGAAAGGATGCAAAGGGTGTATTTTTCATGGGTCTGAAAACAACAATTTCAGAGAGCTGAAGACTGAATTTGCTTTCTGAAGTAAGGAATTATACTGAGAAAGTAGATAAAGGCTTGGAGAATACCACGATGCCTGAGGTAAATTGACTTTCATGAGGGCACATTATTGGATAAGTGATTTGAAGCAAGACTGAATCTTACTTTTGACACAGGAGGATCATATCAGTAATCTTTGAACTACCAGTCCTTGGTATATATAAAAGTCTCAAGATCTCTTGATTAAATATTACAAAACAGAACTTCATTATGACTGACATTTGAATTCTGGTTTTAGTTTACGTAGTAGTGATAAACTGATTTGGGAAGAGATTTTCTGTTAAAAATTTTCTGGGGAAAAAAAAGCTTTTCTTTAACAGTAACAGTATTTCTCCCTAATCCCTTACTTCACTGTCCTATCTTATAAGGAAGATATCTGGGAACCTAGAGATCTTGTTTGAATTTCACTTTATAACATCCTAGGCTACTCATTTCTTAGATTTTACAAGCCTAGAAACCACAGGAATGTAAGCTGCTTTTAGATTTATGAGAATGTTAAGATACGTGATTCAGATGCCTTGAATTTCACCATGGGTAAAGTTTCTATTTAACTTGTTCTTAAACATTGGGATTTTAATTTTTGTAATAGACACATGATTTGCAACAAAACATTTCCTGGGTATTGGGCTTTTTTGCCACCAAAACTGTCTTCAAATTAAAGTATTATCTTCATTGTTGTCCAATTTAGTGGAAAAAATATAGCCATCTGGAAGGAGGGGGACAGATTGGCTAACATAAGTAGATAGACAGTATTAGCATCTTTTCAGTTATAATTTAAAACCAATCTGAAGTATCTTCATAGCTTGAAACTTTAAAAACAATTTTATTCAGGTAAATGTAGCCTGTACTATGAAGTTAGCTGAAATGATTAGACTTGTTAGTATATATGAAAATGAGTGTTATGTCTCTTGCAAATGTTTTACAATTTAATCCCCAAAAGAGAAACTAGTTGTTAGCTTGTTTATTTAGTCTTGTGCCTTCTGTTTTCAGTTGGTACAGTAACTTTTTTAACATGGGAATGAACCCCTCCTACAGAATTTTATTTGCATATTTTGCACAAAGCTGCTTATAGCCTGAAAGAAGCAAAACAGTTTTGTGATTAACTTGGCAGAAGTTCAGGTGATTTTTTAATTTTTCTCTAATACAAATTTCACTAATTTTTATGCTTTTAGTTTTCTCCAATATGGAGGTATTAAACTGACTTTGGCAGACTGTGGTTTTTGCATGAAGCAAGCAGAAAAGTGTGTTGTGAAAAGAGGGTAGATTGGTGTAGGGCAGACTATCTTAGCCAACCTTTCTGTTGTTGTAAAATTATTAAGCAATTCTTTTCCACAGCATATATTTCAAAAATAGATATTGCTTCACTCTATTTAATGGTTATTATTATTTTTCTTCCTCTAAATGAAGTAGTGAATTATGTGTAGGCTAGCTTTGAAAATACTTTGAATTCTAATTTCAAATCACTATAATAATTAACAATTATCCTAAATCTCAGAAATTGAGTTATCTGCCCTGTAATGCTGCTCTTCGCTTCATGGACATATGATAGTCTCTAAAGAAATGTGTCAAGAAAGAGCAGATTTAGAATAATGCTTAGGAAGACCATGTAATTGTAGGTTATACTTTTTTAACAGCATTTTATTTGAAAAGTGACTAGTCGTTCTCTTTAAGCAGAGGCATTTAAGTACTCTGTTCTAGCTTTTCCGGTATTTTTTTGTTGCTCTTTAAGCACAAGTGAATTTCTAAAGAGGAAGACTGAAAAGCACATTGTGAGAGTGTGTGTGTGTGTGTGTGTCTGTGTATGTTTGCACTTGCTGCATGTGTCTGTCACCAGCATACACCTGTTCCTTTGCACCAGATTTCAAAATGCATTGTTTGACATGTAGGATAAAAATTTTCAAGAACACAGAAGTAAAACTGAAAAATGATTCTAAAAAGAGAAGTGAATTAAATAGTTAAGGGATATATATACCCTTGTATATAATACTTCCATTTAAAAGCATAGCACTCTGAAAAATTTACTGCATCATATACTGTATTATATATTCCTAATCACTCTTACTTCTAGTAACTCTTACTACTAGTTATTACTAACAATAACTAGTAATTATATAGAATTTTCTTTGCATAACACTTTATGGTTTCCCTTTGCTAACATACTCTATTTAATCTAATTCTTATTCAATACATTATGTAGTGCTTTATGGTTAGCATATGTGAATAGCACTTTATAATACCACTTCATCTTTATTGCTACCCCAACATATTCCCACTGAAGAATACATACTGTTTTTATTATCTCCACTTAAACATAAAAAATGAAGCTCAAAGATGTTAGATAATTTCGTTACTTTTTAGGTATTGTATTAATATAGTCAACATTAATTTTGGTCATTGTTTAGTAATGGCCCATGAGAGAATTTTTAAAGCTGGATAATTTTTTAACACTGATGTGGTATTTGACCCTATCTAACTACTTTAAAAGTATTTTTGTTTTTTTATAAGATGACATAACAATTTAGGTACTTTAAAACTATATTATCATATGCTCTTAATTAATTGAATTTCACCAAATATATAAAAGCTCTTTGCTTCAAGAGAAATTTGCTGTTACTGTTTGAAAGAAGAGAAGCATATACAAATAGTATGCAGATGATGAGTCAGATAAAAAGCATGCAACCACAACCCACTACTATCTTATACTCAACATCAGAAGGGAATTTTTAAATATTAATACAGTGGAAGTCTTCTGTGCGGTTTAGATTATTGTTTAAAAAAATGAGGGAAGCTATTTTCCTATACTTTTATATACCATAAACTATCATTTAACATTTTAATTCACAGATAACATTTTTCAGTAAATTAGAGATTCAAACTGTTTCAAATTTTTCAAAATTAGGTCACATTTTCTTGGTATTTTTTGAAAGTGACAAAAGATAATAAAGATATAATGAATGATTTATTAATAACAAGAAACTAGCTTGTTGCCAAAATTCTTTCTTACAAGATGAATTTACTAGTAAACATATAAAACTTTTTGGAAATTGTTCTTTTTTTTCCTAAAATAACATATGTTATGCATTTCATTTCTGTGAGACTGTTCTACTCAATCATAGTAGGTTTTCTTTGCATTACAGAACACTGTATTTACTTATAGAAATTTTTCTTGACTGTTATTTTAATGCTCTTTTTATACAGTCTTAAGATTAAGTCTTGATGCAGTGCAAACTATTTCACTTGGCAAGTTAGGTTACAGCTGTGTTATCTATGTTACCATAATGTATATAAACATGAATATTACAGGTGTTTCTGTTCAGGAAGTACCTGCTGTTTCACAAAATGCTAAAGAAATATGGGTGTAAATATTTTAACTCTTTCTTAATTGAAAGCAGTCAAGGAGTCACTTATTTTTTACACTTTTTTGCATAACTTTTAAGACCATTCTAAATTACTAATAATGTCAATTCTGTGATAATAAGCAAACTTGTTTTAATAAGGGTTACATAGAGTTATGCTTTCATTACCAATGTATTCCTTCCTTATTAAAAACTATTCTATACTGTATACTTTAAAAACTAAGCATATAAATCATTACCATTCCTTTTGAACTTCTATATGTCCTAGTTTGTACTTAGGCAAATACTTCTCATCCAGTTTTTGCATCAGTAATCCAGGAAATTACGCTTTGGTTTCTGATTTGCTTTTCCTATTACAGGTTAACAAAAATCTCTCATTTACTTCAACATCAGCTTCCTCACAACAGTCTAAGTTAAAACAGGCAAACATGCTGGCTGCTCATCAGATTCTACATCCGTTTGGTTTCACTCAGACCGGTGAGCCCCTTTCTTACTTTACCTATTCTTTTAAATGTTCAGCTGCTATTTTTTAAAGAATGACATTTATTTCACTTCAGAAATATAGCTCATAGCATTGTAATAATCAGTTTTCACATTTGGATTATATTGTAGCATCTTTTTTTCTTAAAAAATAAAGTTATTTCAAAAAAAAACTCAACTTTGCTAATTTTAAGAGTAGATACTCTACTGTAAGATTATATACCCTCAACCTATATTCTACTGAATAGAAAATAAAAGTAGCAAACGTGAGTTCTAAATATGTGTAATATTCAATCTGATTCAGTTTCCCTTGGAGAAAGGAACCATAGATGATGGATAATCCCATTTTATAATTCATTTCAAGGAAAGCCAAGGTAAAATGCATTTTAGCAGAAACAGGATAACAACTGGCCAATGATACTATGTTTCTTCAAAGTTGGCAAGTTAATAAAATATGCAAAGAAGCTAGTTTAAAAAATACATGATTCACTGAGTTGAAGCACACTATGTAATTGCAAAGTTTTAGGCTAATGTTTTAAGTTAGTTTGAATAAAGTTTTCAAAGGACATCAAAGAAAAAAGCATCTAGGTGAGAAATGTGTATTTTGGCTATTGAAATATGGTTATTTCTGTTCATTACACATTTTTTACCATATTTTTTTCCATTATTGATTCATTTAGAAGAGACACTGAAAATAACAAAACAATTATCTTTGACAAGGAGATTATAATAAGAAACTTTAGCTTGAAAAGATCAAAATAATTTATTTAGAAATTTGGGGATAATATTACTTTTCTACTTTGAAAGTATTCGAAGTTTATTTATACAGTTATCTTAATATTTCTGTATAAGTCACATATTACAGTGAGAAAATAACTTGAATTAAGAGCTCTTATTTTCAGTCCTGGCTGTGCCTTTTATTAACCTTAGTGCTGGGAACCTTAGAATCTGTTTGAAAATTGGAGATAATATTTACATTATATATTATTGTAGTTCAAATCACATGGCACATCTGAGAACACTGCATAAGCATGAGGAACTATAACATAAATAGCATGACCGTGTGTACACTAACTTTGAAAATACTTTGACTTCACTTTTCAATCACTGTAATAATTAACAGTTATCTAAACCTTAAATGTCTAGTGTTCCACATATCTTCCAGAAGTTGGAGTGATGATGTTAGTCATTCTTACATATGATGGAGGGCACACCATGTGCCTTTAGACTCTTATTCTCTGCCCCCTAACTAGATACTTGATTTGCCATCAGACTGTGTCATTTTAGTGACTAGGAGGGAAGGAACCTGTCTTCAACACTTGGTCCCTATCATCTTTCTGCTGAGATCTAAAATTCTTCTTGGAACAAATATGTCATTCCATACTTCAAGATTAAAGACATAGAACTTCAATGTCTGGTTGAATTAATATATTGATTAAAATTCATTCAAATACTGTCTTAAGTTTGTCAGCCAACAATGTATAAATAATAAATAGAAAATTCTTTCCTCTTCTGAAAAAGGGAAAAATCAGAGAGGATAGATAGGAAGTCCTTTGAAATGGGTAAAGGGATTACCACTGAGTCAGATAAAGAATAAAGGAAAAGCTAGATATGATAAAGGCAAGCCTTGTAAACTTCACCATTATATACAAGATTTGATCCATTTGCCTTCAGTTGTTCTTGGTCATATAAACATTGAGTACAGCATTTATGTCATACATGTCCCTCCATATGTGTACTACTTCAGAAACATTACCATTAAGCTAAATGATACATGGTAACACTGCTTCATTTGATTTTATTTTTGTTATTAATATAACTGACCTCATTTTAAGGCATATCCTTCTATAAAATTTATTGATATATCACTCTGTAGAAAAATTGTAAAAGTGGAGTATGTAGTCCAGTGTAGAAGAGCCAAATTTAGTTCATTTTACTCATTAAGAAGTCAATCTTTGTGGGGGGAAAAAATCGTGCACTAGGAAACAGGCGAAAAAGTTTCCATATGTGTCTCCATTTCTAAATGACTACAGATACAAATCCTGAGCAATTTTTGCTGGCCTCAGTCTTTTCAACGCTATAGCTAAATGAGGACAGTGAATCTAGGGACTTTCTATTTTCTTTGGTCTGTGTTCCTCAGAGTTTCTGCAACACTATTTTTATTCATTCTAAAATAATGTTAAATGGCTACTTTGCTTAAGTCTCTCTCATAAGGATATGGACTAACTATTGCTGTCTGTCCTCAAGGAGTTTATAGTCTGGTTGGGGAAACAAATGAGCATGCAACTAATTATGTCAATGTGTGATAAATTCTGAAATCACAGAATAATTACAGTGTCGTTGGAATACAGAGGAATAGAGGGGTTAGGAGGTTTCTCAAACTTTACATGTCCAGTAGAACTCTTGCCCCAAATCCTTCCACCTCCATTTCCCCTACCACACACCAACCAACCCTTGCCACTCCTACTGCTTCCCACCACGTTTACCCAGTTATTTAGGTGAAATTAGGAGCCATTCTTGATTCCTTCTTTTCCCTCTCCACTCTGTTTTCCCTCTTGTCTCTTGGCTTATTCTCCAGTATGACCTACCTCGTGTCACTTCCCTCCTTAAAACTCTTACGTGGTTTTCTGTCACAATTGGAATGAGTTTCAGAATCCTTACCCTGTCTTATGAAACCTTCTGTGATCTTGCTCCTATGTTGACTTGGTCAGCAGGCAGTGGTACAGGAAGGCATACAGAGCCAGGAACCAGGTAAACAAATGTACACTAGGAGAGAGCTTGACTTGGGTGAGGAGTGGTTTGAGTCTGTTTGACTGGAGGAAATGGTGAGATGGATGTGTTTAGGAAGAATGAGTCTATAGAGGTAGAATGGAGTCAAATTGTGCTCTTTTGAGGAACTCACATTTTATTCTCTAAATAAAAGAGATCTATCTAAAGATAGGAGTGTGAAGGGAATGATAAAGTCTTCTTAAAAGAGTGAACAATGGATTAGACAGGAGAAAATCTGGACACAACTCTAATAATATAGTTATTTTAGAAACTATTCATTAGGCAGTTACTCTAGATTCTTAAGAACAAAATAAGAAATCTGCTAATAGTAATACAATAAAAACTATTTAACTTCCCTGATTAATTTCTTTAAAGAAAGAAAATTATAAATTTAACATTTTATGTTAAATTGTAGGTTGTAGTGCTTCATCATTTAGGGAACGTGTTCTACTATATCTCAAAGTATTTCCATACTTCTTTAGTATAATGAAAAGAAAATCTCAAACAATAACAGCAACTTGTATTTGTATTAAATATTTTAAAGTGCTTTCATATATATTCACTTCTGATCCTCAAAAAAACTCTCTAAGTAGGGTAAGCATTAAAATCATAGGGAGTGAGATCTTTTTTAGAGCTTCTAGGACCTTAATCCTTTTGCTGTTCAATCCATTTACAGTGAAGCCAAGAGACAGAAGGACTGACTTAAACAGAGTTTTACAAAGCTAGTGGCAGCCCTATCTAAAGCAAGATCTCCTCACTCATAGCTCAGTACTTCTCATCCTCACCACACCAGACTGCCTATTTCTAGAGAAAGGCATAAGTTCAGGAGGTGAAGTGGACTGCCTGCGCAGGATCCTCAGTGAAGCTGTGCCTGGAGCTACTCCTTAATGTTTGGCACATTGTCCTCCCACTCTTCCAGGTGGTCCGTTTGGCTGTGTGTTATCTTTTGTTATTAACTTTACATATGCTACAGAGTAAAAACCTCAACAGTAATACATGAAACAGGTGTTGTTAAAACTGAGGTGCCAATACGGTATTTTCTGAGGATTAATGAACTTCCATTTTTCTTTGATCATTAAATATAATTCTGTGTTTGCCAGTTCTTGATTTTTTTAAGGTTTGGTTCTAGTGAAACTGGTATTTAGTCTCCAGTCAAATCAGGAGGTTCTCTGCAGAGAAATTTTATTCTGTAATAGTTTGTCTGAAATCCAGATCACATTCAAGTACCTCAAGAGTCCTTATTATAGAGGCAAATTTTAAATTGTGGATTATTCAGTAAAAAATAAAATCACTGTTATGGGTAGCAGAAATCAGCAGAAAGTGCTTTATCATATTGGCAGTGGCATGGTTGTATCATCTTTGCATTACATATTTAAAGGACAACTTGTTTCATTTTTATGTATTTTATCTTTTCATAGCATTGCACTAAATTCATTAGATACATTCAGTCATATAAAATAAATGGGTCTATTTTATTACTATAACTTTATCAACATAATCTTTTTAATTATACACTTGGATGTGTGTGATGTGTTTTTTAAAAGTAATCAATAGCTGCTGTCTTCTCCATATTTGTTTTCACTTTCCATTGGACCATATAAATGTATATTAAACTTGATTGACAACTGTTTAATCTAATCTTACCATATCCTAAACAGTCAAGATACTTGATTTAAACAAAATCATAAAATGATTCAGGTAACTTCAGTATTGGTTAAGAGATTGGTCAAGTTAACTTTCATACTTCTGCAAGTCGAATAATATTTGTACTAGATTTTCCCATTAATTTTACAAGTCTTTGGCAAGTATACTCTTATTTTCTTGACCAGTTCTTAAAAGTAAGGACTGTTTTTCCTATTAAATTTTATATTTACTTTTAAGATTTCAATATTTCTTAAGGTTTTAGTTTTTTATAAATAAATGCAAAACTTTTTAAATAATATAATTAAAATTTTAAATAAATCCTGGGTCATAATTTCACAAGAGATTCTGTGATATCCTTATATAACTCATTGTGCAGAAAGTAAATTACATCTAAGCTAGAAATATGATTCTTCTTATATTTCAAAAGAAGGAAAAGAAAACATTCTGGCAAAAATTGGGAATTAGAATGACTCAGTAAACACAGCTGATGGTAAAAGGGGGTTTCCATTTTAAGGAAGGTAAAATGAGCTTTAAAGGACTTTCTCGTGCTATCAGAATTGGCAAGTTTTCTGTTAATATTACTT